CCATTCCAGTGGGAATGTAGTGGTATCTCATTGTGGCTTTAATTTACAAGGTTGAGTATCTTTTATGCACCTGTTTGCTTTCTGTGTCTTTTTTGATGAAGTGTCTTTTCAGATCTTTTTCCTATTTTTTGTCTTATTACAGAAATTTTAGGACTTTTTACATTTTCTAGATATAAATTGTTAGGAGTTTTCTTTTGTTTTTTGTTTTTTTGTGGGTTTTTTTTTTTTTTTTTGAGAGAAAGAGCATGCACATGCAAGCAGAGTTGGGGAGGGGAAGAGGGAGAGACCCCCAAGCAGGCTCCAAGCTTAGCATGAAGCAGCATGGTGCCTGACATGGGACTTGATCCCATGACCCTGAGATCATGACCTGAGCCAAAATCAGAGTCAAACACTTAACTGACTGTGCCACCCAAGGGCCCCTAGTTTTTTGGTGTTTTGTTTTTAATAGTTTCTCTTAGGGTGTTTTTTGCCATGTCATTTTCATAACAATGTCTGGGGAGAGAGGCAAATGTGTGTTATTAGAAAACAGTGCTGCAGAGAGTTGAGAAAACAAAAAACAGATAGGACTTGGAAAAATATAAAAGGAAAACCAAAATATATCTTGTATCCCAAACATATAACATGAATTGAATGTTTCTGTTTTCACAGGTTATCAAATTAGTTTTAAGGTTGTATCCCAGTATAAGGGGAGGAAAAATAATTTTCTCCTAACCCTTCTGAGTTCTTGCCTTGTGTAGTAAGACAGATTAACAAGAGAAAAATAAATGCATTAACTTGTACAACTCATGGGTACATGGCAGATATCCAGGAGAAAAAATGAGTAACTGCATAGGTGGCCCAAACCACCAGCTTAAATACCATCTTTAGCTCAAGGAAAAAAAAAAAAAAAAGTGTGTAATTGTTTGGGGGGAGACCAGTGGTGGGAGATTGGTTACCAGGAAAAGCTTAGTAAAGTAGGGTAAGGCAGTTACTCAGATTTAAATCTGTGCCCTCTCCACTGATAAATTCTCTTGTGATAGAGAATCTTCTCTTCAAGCAGGAGGAGGGAGACACCCTCAACAAATGAATATTTGCTTTTTAATGTAAATTTCCCTTTCAAAAGAGTAACTTATACTCTGTTTTCGGAGCTTCCCCTATATCTGCTCTTTCTCAAAAAATTAGCTCAAAATAATCCTTATACCAAAAAGTTATATTTTGGGGTGGCACACTCTTCTACTCTTCACCAGCTTCCTGTTGTTCTTTCATTTGCTTGCCAGATTAATTCTCTTTTCAACAGCCTTCTTGAGCTATAATTGGCATATGACAGAATTTGCCCACTTAAGGCATTAAATTAATTGGCTTTTACTATATTTATGGAGATACGCACCTATCACATTATATTAGAACATTTCATCACCCCCCCCCCAAAAAATCTTTAGCCTTAACCGGTCATTCATTGCCCTTACCCCCAGGCTAAGCCCTACACAAACACTAATGCCTTTTAAGCCTCTGTAGATTGAACTATTCTGGACTTTTCATATAAATGGAGTCACACAGTATGTGGTCTTTTGTGACTGGTTCTTTAACTTAACATAATTTTCTAAAGTTCTAAAGCATAAATTTCCACCTTCATGGTTTTTGAAGTTTTTAACCATAATTTATATGTTTTGTCCTCTGAGAATCCTTACCCAATCCAAGACCACTAAGATTATTTTCCTGTGTTTTCTTCTATAGAGTTTTAATTCTTATATTTGGGTTTATACTCCATTTGTAGTTAATGAATCCATATGGTGTGGGGGAAGGGTCAAGGTTCATATTCTTACATGTGGCTATCCAATCCATCACCATTTGCTGAAAAAAATTATTCTGTCCCCATTGAAGTAAACACATCTTAGCACTTTTAATGAAAATCAGTTGACCATAAGTGTGAATCTAGTTCTGGACTCTTTTCTGCTTCACTGATCTATACGTCTATGTACCAATATCACAATATCTTGATTACCACTATGACTTTCTATATAGAGTCTTAAAATCAATTAGTTTAAGACTTTCAACTTCATTCTTTTTCAAAATAATCTTAGGCATTCTATGTGCTTTGCATTTCATATATATTTTAGGATCATCTTGTCAATATCTTTTTTTTAAAAAGCTTGTTGGAATTTTGACTGGAAGTGTAGGGGAGATTTGAGGATAATTGACATCTGAAGAGTCTTCTAATCCATGAATATGGTATATCTCTCCTATATATTTAGGTCTTCTTGAATAATTTCAACAGTGTTTATAGTTTTTAGCATTCAAATCTGTTGTCACGTTTAACACTAGGAATTTCATAATTTTTATCCTGTTATAAATGACACTGCTTCTTTAAAATTCCCAATTTTTATTGTTATATATAAAAATATAATTGATGTTTGAATATTGACCTTATAGCCTGTAACCTAGCTATACTCACTTATGAGTTCTAGAAACTTTTTTCTACAGATGCTCAGGATTTTCTACACAGAAATTGATTTTACTTAGGAACAAAAATTATTTTACTTCTTCTTTTCTGTGTGCCATTTTTTGTTGTTTTTTTTTCTTACCCTGTTGTACTGTCCAGAAATTTTAGTACAATACTGATAGTATGAGACCAAACATCCTTACCATATTTTTTATCTTAAGGGGAGAACATTCAGTGCATCATTTACTGTGAGTCTCCCATCATACCTTTAATTCTTGGCTTATTCTTGTTTTGTTGACCCCGATGGATAAACCAACTAACCAGCGAACAAGGCCTATGGACCATTTAGCATTTCAAATCCTGAGCCATAACCATTATTCACTTGGTGGCCTTACAGCATGCATTGTTTCAAAAAAAAAGAAAAAAATAGTATAACCTTTTACAGTTAAGTGGTGCCAAATGCCACCATTTGAGTCTGGAGCTGTGGTTCATGACAAATATACAGGTTCACAACTGTATATGAAAAGCACATGGGGGACTTTTAAAAATCCTGATGCCCAGGCTCTATATCAATCCAGTTCCTTCAATAGCCCTGATGGGATTATGTATTAAATTACATATTAATTTACACAATCTTACCACCACTCTGTAACAAAAGGACTATTACTATGCCTATTTAATAGGCAATTTCCTTAAACTGAGGCTTAGAGAGAGGATAAATAACTAGACCAGGGTTTCAAACATAGTTTGACCCTAGAACCTACACTGAACTAAACTGCATCTCCCCTGGTTGTATTAGAAAATAAAAGACACCTAACCCCTTCCCTGTACCTTTCCATGATTCTATTGTGGTTTTGGAACTGATCCATGAAGCGATCATATTAGGACTTGTCCCGATAGCTATTTTTACAATTGTCCCGATTGTTCTGTTTTTACTCATCTGCTCATTTGTTCACTCATTCACAGGTTTGTACTGAGTGCTTTTATTTCCAAGAGATTTTAACTCTAAGTAATTTCTACACCCAATGTGGGGCTTGAACCCACAACCCTGAGATCAAGAGTCGCGTGCTCCACCAACCAAGATAGGCAGGTGCCCCTATTCTGAGTTCTGAATATCTGCATAGTGCTATATATAAGTTCAAGGGTGAGAAAGTAAGAGTAGAGCACTGAATTCATAGAACAGTAACAAATATAAATGGAAAAGATTGCAAGAGGAAGGAGGATGGGGATAGATGCAGTAAAATGATATTCAAAAATCTTTGACCAGTCAGTTCAAGCATTTAATATACTGTCTTCTATGCACTAGTGTGCCTGGGGCTGGTCCAAGTATAATCTCATTAACTACCCCAACCCCAGATTTTTTTTTTTTTAACCAAGCTTTTCTTAGAGTTCTCTTTTAGCTCTGGGGTCCAAAAGACTCCTAAGAAAGAGTGTGCTACCTGGCCTAGTGAAAAAGGGTATGGGACACCAAGAAGGGGATAACATTTAGTGAACTCCTCTTGTGCTCCAGGCATCACGCAGGATGCTTCTCGTATGTTAGTCCATTTGCTCTTTATGCCAGTCCTGAAGGATGGGCAGTATTCCAGTTTTACAGATGAGAGAACGGGTTCTGCCTGATGTCATAAACCAGGAGCAAGTGAAGCCAGGTGTGATCACAGGTTTGTCTCAAAGTCCAGGCTTTGTCCCAGGCTTAGAGACTTCAGGATTGTCCATAGAGAGACAGCCGTTGTGCTTTCCTGTTGAGTGTTTTGGCATTTCTAAATCTGAAAATGACCACTGAGAAGTATGGCAAAGAGATACAGAAAAAGAACGTTGGAAGAAGAATTTCAAAATTAGGAAGGAGCAAGATGGTCTAAGTCTGAATATAAATTCATGGTAGAGGTCTCATCCAGTTTCTTAGTTCCATTTGTGAGTGATTTGAGAAGAAATCCTCACAGGATATTCTATAAATTGGAGTGGGTGTTGGATATCGAATATCTTTTCTAATACCATTAAAAAAAAGAAGAAGTTTTAAAAACCTTTGAACCAGTCTGAAAGAAAGAAAATCCTCAGGACCTCTCCCAGGAGAACTTGCAGTCAAAACCCTGGAGATGGAATGTTCCTTCAGGAACAGCCCTCTGATCAGTTGGTTGTTACTGTCTTGGGGACTTTGTCTCTAAGGCCCCCCGGAGTCTCCTATGTCTCTGGTCCCGCATTTTTTTTGTCACAAGTACCAACTGACTTGCAACCTCAGGCTTTCATGTTCCCTTGGATCGTTCTTATACTGTGGGTCACTTTTGTATGCATACGTTTTGTGTATGAGTGAAAGTGCAAATGAAGGACAAATAAGGACCTCATCTCACTTATGATCTTAGGGAAATGTGTCAGAAGGGACCTTAAGGAAACTCCTGGCTCCCAGCTTTTCATTTCTCACGTGAGGAAACTGAAGGCCAGTGAGCCTCAAGTGTTTTCCCTCAAGTTCCGAAGTCACCTGCTAACAGAGCTGCCATAAAACCAGGCTCTCCAACTCTGTCTGCCAGTCAGAGTGGACTTTCTCTCGCAGTGGCTGTTGTCTTTCTTACGTGTTTGTCTTCATCCGTAGATTCTTCAGAAACCGAGCCCGGAACTCAAGCACCAGCTGGCTGCTTTCTCCAAGCGCGTCGCTGGCGCAGTGACTGAGCTCATTCAGGCCGCCGAAGCCATGAAAGGTAGGCCGCACTCTCGCGCCGAGCGAGTACAGCGAACTGAGTACAGGCTCAGTGCCGCGAACTGAGCAGAGAAACCACACAGCCAGCCCAGGCCCCAGGGAAACAGTGAGGTACTTTTTTTTTTTTCCTAAACAAATGGGAATAGAGTTAGATTTTAATAATAAAATTATAATAATAATTATAATTATTTGTTATATTACCTCTTTGTTTCAGGAGGTTATAGCCTCCTGAAACAAGGCTTTTTTCCAGTCTTAGCATTAAGTACTTCTACCAAAATGGTATGGTCCGTCTGGAACTCCTCACTTCTCTGAGGGGTGTCGCCATTTATTTTTATCTGTGTTTTCCTTCATCAGAATATTTTTCCTTGTTCGCATAACACACTTCCTGTTTAGGAAATGATGCTGTCTGGGTACATTGTTTGCACACCCCTTCATGGTGGCATTAGAAGCAGTCACCTCACCAGAGAAATTCAGTTTCCCTTTGTTTGAGTTGAGGTGAATGGCTCTTTTCCATGAGTCCCCAGGAAGAGAATGGCAAATCTGGAAGGTCAGCAAAGTCTTCAGTCTCTTAGAAATGGTTACTGGCATTCGTGAGCTCTAAGTGAAAAGTTAGAGTAAATCTCGAGCTGGCCTTGGACCATGAGATCCCGATTTTTGAAATTCTCATTGAGGACTGTGCTGGGGCTGTGTACATCTGCCTAGAGAAACAGGAGCCCACAGGAGCTCCCCTGACCCCAACCGATCTCTGTGAGAGCCAAAGAGATGATCGCTCGGCACCATGCCACTGGTAGACTTACAGAGCTTCCCTGCATGCCAATCCAGATACTGTTTGTAGCAAAGCCAGTGCCCTGTGGTCACAGCTACCAAGAATGACCCTCTTTGGACTGATTTTAGGAACAGAGTGGGTGGATCCGGAAGACCCAACCGTCATTGCAGAAACAGAATTACTGGGGGCCGCAGCATCCATTGAGGCTGCTGCTAAGAAGTTAGAGCAACTGAAGCCAAGAGCAAAACCAAAAGTGAGTGTCCGTGTGTGGCTGCTTGTCTGGTGTCACTGGGTCTTCCTGCGGACGGCTGTGAGATAGAGCTTGGTATGCCTCGGGAGGCTTGTCTCCTTCCCTGCGGTTAGACTCCCAAGCTGCCCACCTGCTCTCCCCGCCCGGCACCTTTGCACAGGGTATGGAGAGAAACACAGAGGTGGATCCTTCAGGTTAACCTCCCAGAAAAATACCTGTGGGTTATCCAGAGGAAGAACCCGGGCATTTACAATCCAAGTTCAGTTCCATTCCGTCTAAAGCAGGTGTTGGGTGCTTATTATGGAAAATCCCTGTCCCTGAACTTGATGCCATCACCCTCCCATTGTCTGGTTTCCATAATGTAATGCAAAGAGCAATGCTGTGGGTCTCTCCTTTCCTTAAAATCGATAGGACAACGTGGACCTCAAAAGTGGATCTGGTGACAGACTTTGTCAGTATGTGCTGGAGGCTGTGGTGGGCTGGTCTCTTTCCTCGTCTGTGTGTGTCATCGGGATAAATGTTTAAAACTTAAGAGCATGAGTAGATATGAAGAGAAAGGGCCATTTAAAGAACTATTTTAAGATTGGGCAGCAGGGAGGACAATGATTACACAAAAGGACAGTGAGCTTGTGCTCCAGGGGTAAAGCCCAACCCTCTTAAGCTCTTACCTATCCCTCCAGGCCCTCCACCACCAGCCCCCGTGATTATCTTCAGAAGATGGTAGAGCTAGAGGAGACCTCTTTCTCTTCCTATCAAGCAAGTTATGGCACCTATAACCTCACTTCCCTTCCAAGGACCCAAGGACCTTAGGAAGTAAAATCTGGTTTTGCCCTCAGAAAAGTTGGATCCCTCAGATTACATATGCCGAAAACTCTACCTTTTTTTAATTAGACCAAAGGATGGAGTCTGAGCACTAGAATATGCCACACCCCTCAAAAGCAGAGCCTGGGTTCATGTTGTGTGGAAAGTAGACATGAGCAGGTAGTGAATGTATGAACCTTGGGAACCTTCTTAAAACCATGAAATTCTTCAAGCCAGTCTTCTAATAGTTGCTCTAGACTTGGTGAAGGCAGTCTTTAAATTTCTCATCAAGAGGTAATTTGAGAGTCATGGCTTCTGACCTGGGGGTTTACCAGGGTTCGCTCCACTAGCCTCTAAGCTGAAGGTCTTAAGTGGTCTGAAATGGTCCAGGTTGTTCTCAACAAGCTTAAGCAAGGAGTGTGTGTATAGGGACAACTCCCATTTTCTGTCTGTGTCTTTATTTCTGCTTTGTAAATCAAGTTAATCACAAATGGAAAATTACTTTCAGCTGAGAAGCAAACAACCATTGACTAAGATTTAGAGGCTTTGTGCGTAATTGGTTTTTCCTCTTCCTCATCTGATTTCACACAACAAGCCTCTCCTGGAAAGCTTCCGTCTGCTAATGCTGAAGTCATGTCATTTGGCACTGTTGTGGAGAATTCGCCTGGTGCTCCTGTAACATTAGCGCTTTGCCGGGTCCTGAGAGCTCCTGTTTCGATCCCTCTCCGTCTGTCCTTTTGCAAGATCCCTCGGAGCTCTGTCTCTGAATCCTAGTTGCCCTCTGTCTAGCCATTGATTCACCTTAGAATTCTTGAGCTGAAAATACAAGTCATTAGAGGCCCTACCTCATAGAATAAATGTTGTTACAGCAATTAAATGAGATAATTTAAGAACACAGTGCCTAACTTAATAAGCAGTAACTGTACCACCATCACTGAAACTATGCTTCAGAGACTTTTATCTACTACCTCCTCGGAGAATGCCTGCAATAAAAATTATTCCATAGATCCATGAGCTGATGGCCGTAGCAAAAAGAAAACAGAACAAAAGGCTCGCATTGACTGAGTACCGAGCAGGAGCCAGGCAGCCTTCTAGGTGCTTTGCATGGATTAACTCATCTGGCTCTTGCAGCAAGTCCACAGAGCAACACGTATTTCCATTCCTGCTCCATGCATGCAAAGTCAAGGGCACAGTAACCTTGCCAGAGTCAGCAGGCTTGGCGGAGCTGGAAGCAGTGGATGTGGGCTCTGGGTGCGGAGTCCATTCACCCGTGTCCTTTGGGTCTAGCCAGTAGTCAGAGGCTGTTGTAGCCCCCCAGAGGAAGTTTGGGGTTTGCCTGTACCCTTTGAGCTATTAATGCCTCTTCTGGGAAGCTGTGTCGAGCTGCAGGACAAAATCCAGAGAGAAAGAAAGCTCTGTGTGTCAGGGAAGCCTATTCCTTGTAGCCTCATTTGTAGGAAGAAGATAGATATGACCCGAGTGTCTCTTTGAAGAAAAAGTACGCAGCCATCTAAAAGAATGGTTGATAGGACTGTGTCCTATGAAGAAGATGCTCATGGCATCAATATAAAGTAAAAAAAGAAAAACACACGGGATGCAGAATGATGTGCTCATTATGGTTACAACTCTGTAAACAAAAACTTGCATACGAAGGAGACAGGGAGATGTACAAGGGTGACCGTGGAATTAAGGGAGGGCCTATGTTTTAACCTTTTATAAAGCAGTGTTTTAAAAATAACAGCACTTAAAAAGTGCTGAAGTGGGCCAGGGGGGCACTCCGTGCCCTGCCCTGGGATCATCAGCCTTTGTATTGACAGTCTGGGTCTTCACACAAAGCCAAGAAATCCTTCTGGGAAGGTCAAAGTGGACATAACTGTTGATTCGAGCCCCTTCCTTGGGGATGTCTACTTTAGGGCACTCCCGTCTTCATGTGAGGAAGGGTGCTTCGTACTTCATGAGAGCCCGAAAGTGATCTGAAGCCTTACTCCACCCAATGACCAGAGGCTTCGGCCACGTGGGTTACAGTATCTCTAAAACCATTCTAAAGAAACCATCAGCCCAAACTATGGTTTTTGTGCCTGTCTCAGAGTACCCTCTGCTTTGTGGTAATAACCATGAAATGAAACAAAATATCTTTCTTGCCTTCACAAAGGAATTTATGTCCCTAGTTGAAAAAAAAAAAAAAATGTCCAATCTGACCCCACCATCAACCAGTCTTTTGTGGTTAACCAGTTCTCTCCAGGCCCTTCCATAACTGAAATAAGGAAGGAATCCTCAGGATACTAGGAATAAGCATTTGCTCTCACATTCCTCTCCCTATAACTACACACGACCACACAAGCCCTCAGCACAGAGCTGACAATGCTTTCCTTTGTAACCGTGGGGCATTTACACTGCTTTGAAGAATAGTACTGGGGAAGGGCAATGGGTTTTTGGTTTTTGGGGGGTTTTTTTGTTGTTGTTGAAATTATTCTGCTCCCCACATTCTCAGGTCGCCTGTTTTAAAAGTAGAATGCTTCCTGGTTTATGAAGATGATTCCTGGTATATTCCCAGCTCAGGACCTTAAAATTTAAGCACCTCTTTTTGCCTGGAATCTCCCAGATGTGAATAACAAATTCACACCATTAGCTCCACTGTTTGCTTGGGAAGATGGCAGGAAGGCAAAAGGGGAAGGTCGGTGAGCTCTGGTGCATGAGCCTGTGATGTTGCCAATGGCGCCGTTTCCACACGTACAAGCAGCCTGTGCTCCACAGACAGGTAATGGACTTCCTGCCGTACGTACGGTGCCTGTTCTCGAGCCCAGTGCAACCTGGATGCCTTTTCTGCAGGCCTCTGTGTGATATGTTTGATATATTAGGTTGTTATTTAATCCAACTATATATCAAACATATTCCTACAGTGTCTTGCCCTGTCTCCGGGGGTTCCTAATATAGCTTATAAAGCAACAGGAAAGAACACGTTAAAATCACAAGCAGATTTAGAAGACGGGGTGCTCATTCCCTTTCATGATGTCATATTCCATTTTTTTTTTCTTGTAGCATGTCAGTACTGCTAGATTCTTTTGTTTGTTGTAGAAACAAATCATAATTATGGATGTGAGATACTCTGTGTAGCTTAGTTTTGTGCAGTAATGAATCCTTAAGGGATATGCTCAGTGGAAAAAAATGGAAGGTTCTAGCCCATGTTTGTACCATGGGATAAACATCGGGATTATCAGCCCTAAACACATCCAGACATTGCATCGTACTTCACTTTTGTCCTGATCCTCAGCTTTGAAATTAGTCCTTTTCTTAATCAAGTTTTCTGCAAAAATGCAAGCACAGATCAACTCTCTGTAACTTTCCCTTCCACCCATAGCATCACAATGTATAAACCGAATCGGCCATACCAGCGGTAGGGAGTGTGAGTCACTGTGCTTTATATACACTTGCTTAGGACTGCATGTATCTAATACAGATAATGCAGTGCAGACCGTACTCTGTCTGTTGAATTTCCTGTAAGAGGTTAACTGGTCAGTAGAGGTTGGTCACATTTAGAATAAGCTGACAATAGCCTAATTGGGTGCAAGAGGAAGTTTGGGATTATGAAACATTTTTTCTGGCACACAGCAGCCTTCTTTGGTTGGCTTTGACCTCCTCCCCCTGGAGGAGCCTGCAAAGAATGTGTGCGTTCATTCTGATCTCTCTCGACAAAAGATTGTGAGCTCTGCTTTCTGGAAAGAGCACTATGGTGCCCATAGCTCAGTTCTTTGGAGCAGAGAAGCAGTGCTCCTTTAACAGCACGTCTGCGTGCATGCATATAAGCAGTGCCCCACATGGATGGCGAGCCAGTGGTTTGAACAAATGAGTCAGGAAGGCTTCCCCTGGTTAGGTCTGGAAGCCATCTCCATGTTGCGGAGCCCAGCTAGCGTGTGTGCGGAGCTCAGCTAGCTCATGTTCCCGGTGACCCCTGCCAGTGGTGGAGCTGCTCTTGTCACACCCTCCGCAGACATGTAGAGGAGTCAGAGCAAAGGAGCTTACGATGTGGTGGGTGTATCTGATCAAATACTTGAAAGCATTCCATTATCCTTTTTGTCCGTGCTTCCTAAGTAAACATGCAGGTGACTTTTCTGAAATCCCAATGATCTTGAAGGATTTTTCTGCCTAACGGAAGTAGCAATTAAAAGGTCATTTCACTGATACTACTTTTCATCCAGACAAAC